ACGGAAAAGGAAAAAAACCTCCCCCCCCCCCCCCGTTTTTTTTATTTTTTTTTTTTTTTTTTTTTTTTTCAATGTTCACGGCAGATCAAAGCTTTTGTACACAGTCAGAATTTTAGTGCTGTGGGCTTTATGTGTGCGTGTAGCAACAATTACCGTCAAGGCAAATCAAGCACATCCTTGAAATGTACTATTGTTTTAATGGCAGACGAAGCAGTGTACATATTTTTTGTTTGTTCTTTTTTCTTTTTGCTTTCTTGGGGAAAATATCAAACTAATGTATTTCTATCATGATCTGTTTGCCATTTATTTCCATGCAACTTTTCTATTTTTTTTTGTTTGTTTTTTTGCTCATCAAAGACCTATAGAGCTCTCTCCATGCTTCTACATGATGTTGAGGCAAAGATGACAATGACACAGTGCTTTGTTACGTGTCAACCTTCCAGGGAATGTTTTGGGAAAACATTATACCTTTTCCTGATAAGATGCTTGCTAGGGAGAAACCATGCACCACATTTTAATTCAAAGATGTGTTGCAGCTCTCAGTTCGAATGAATTCACATACAGGATGAGGGACAATGCTTGCATGTTTGTATGAGTTCATCGCGTAAATCCGAATGTGTGTACTTGTCTGTGACCGATAAAGCAAAGAGGGGACAAACAAAAGAGCCTGCATAAATCTTGTTTGGATGGCACAGAAAGGAAATCTATTAAAACGTTCTGGTCTATTAAAATGCTCCGGTCTAACAATGTATGACAGAGCGCTGTTAAACTGACAGCAATAGGAGATTAATATAGTCCATTTTTCAAAAATAGCATTTTCAACTACTGCTGTAATAGCTCACATTCTGTATTAATGGCTTCTGTACTGTCAGAATTGCATGTGACAACGAGATTGAAGTAGAGGAATTAAATTGATGTGATTTTTAAAAATCTGTCACTGCCCCAGATGGGACAGTCCGTGGAAGTTTATGTTAAAAAAACAATATTCTCTGTGCGCCAAAATTTTTGGAAATAATCCAACTCCAAAGTGCATTTGTTTCATGTGATAATAGAAGTCTCTTATATAGTCTTCTTTCTTTTTCTTTAGAAAAAAAAAGAGCTCTATCAATGAATGAGTTGTTTCTGTTCGACTGTGTATGTCTTTTTTTTTTTTTTTTTTTTTTTTTTTTTTTTTTTTTTTTTTTTGTCCCCAGTTAGAAAATGTGTCTGAGACTGCCTTTGATACTTTGGGGTCAAATTAAAGGTATAAAGAGAGAAATTGTACAATGTTGGTTGGTTATAAAAAGAAACACAATATATTTTAATAAAAACCTGTAGTAACACTGCAAGGGTCTCAGTGCGTGACTGAGAA